ATATATATAAGCTTCATTGGCTGATAGCGACTTCCCTACATATTACTAATGTTTATGAAATGTTTCTTTTAGAGCAAAATTGCGGCCGCGGTCGTGCAGCACATTTTTTTACGTACGTGTTTTATTATTGTACACCCAATAATTAAATATAAAAAAATCATTTCGTATTCGTCATGAATGTGTATTTATTTATACAGATAAAAAACCGAACCGATCCCTCAAATTCGTTTTTAGGTAGTTTAGATTTTCAAAAAAGTCAAATTATTTCGAATTGCAGCCGTTTTCGTATCGTAACTCGGCCGGTGGACTCTTAAATTAAAACTTTAAGAGAAACACCAGAAAGTTCGGATATACATACATATACGGTACATTTCATTCTCTTGCAAGCTAGAATGATTAGAAACAGGGAAATACCTTCAGGTATATAACGTTTGTTATTTATATGGGGTTTTATTAAGATAACTCACATATTGCCTGATGTATGCAGTATGAAGTCACTCAAAAGTTCGAAAATCTTTATTTTACCCATATGGGGGTTAAGGGAAGTATTTATCAAAGAAGGATTGTCTCTGAATTTCATTTATACATAACACACATTGACCGATATTTTCGGTAAAATGTCAACAATAAATACTGAGTCCACATATTAAGCAGTCTTGGTACGATACAAGCACTTTTCAGTCATAAGGCACTGTTCGTGCAATGTTTTATCCTCATATAGTAATTCGTTCTTGATTTACATACTGGAAAGTGAAAGCTTCAAATGCAATTTAAAATTGTGTTATATTGGAAGTAGTCGTGGGTGAAGTGTGATTTAGCCCATTTTCACAAAGTAACATAGGAATGTAAGGGGAATGTCACGTACCAAATTTTCTTGAAATCGGTCTGGCGACTTCAGTGATATGTGATTTCACTACAAAGTGTGCGGTGTCACGCGTATCGTTCAATTTTGACCCTGGTCCCATTAAGAGCCTCTCATAGCATCGGTCTACTTTTATAGTGCTCTATTAAAAACCCCTATATTTTTTCGATGTGGCAGCTATGATTGCTAGTACTTGAGATGATTCGATTTATTTGAAATTTGACACAAATATTCTTTCAATACTCTTCTATTATTTGAACTATAAAAAAATAAAAAAAACTTATATTTTTAATATTAAAAAAAAAAAATTCTAAGTAGGTTAAAAAACTTATAATAATAAAGAATCCATCATTATTTTAAGTGTGAAACGATCAATAGGGTAGAAATCGTGACGACGAGAACTCGTCCTATTTATTTTTTCTTACTACTTAAAGGACTTGTAACTTTCTGATTTTGTTTTTAAATTTTTTTGGTTTGTGTATTTTTGAAATATGAGTAATTAGTTGATAAAAATATCAATAGTATTTTTTTAATTGCCAAAAGAGTGTTCTCAATTTGAGACCCTGGACCAGAACATAAACTTAATACAAATTTATTAAAAATGTTACTCATACGTCATGTTGAGCGAAAAATAAAACATTGACACGCGGCGACAGGCTGTGAGTGTGTGTGTGTGCATTCGAGCATATATCTAGTTATTAATGAATTACTTTCAGCCAAACCACTCATTTATTTTGTTCAAGTATCTTTTGCCGTCTGCTTTATTTGTGCGAGCGCAAAACTTCGGCTTGATGTCTGCATCTTCAAAGCTTTTCGCCAACTTTGATACGCCTCCGCCATATACACAAGGCAACTCGGTGTAACGGCAGCAATCGCAAATGTAATCAAATAAACCAGTTTTAGCTACGCGCACACACACACACATGCCTATATATGTAACTACTTAAGTTGCCATAGCGTGCGCCTGTGAGCGTGTCTTAATGTTATTACTACACAGTGATTAACATGTGTGCCCGCCATATTCTTCATTTCTAACATTTGCAAGATTAATTTTATTCCTCGCACCGCATGCTTTCGCTATTTTCGCTTTCTTTCCTTCCTCCTTAGACGTCCGTAGTTGTCGTTTTTCATTCATTATGGTTGTGTTTGGCATTCTTGACCAGCTGCGCAGAAACCAATTTGGCAAGAACCTACAAAATCGCTTATGTGTGCATGTACGCTTGTATATGTGTGTGTGTATGTTAGCATTTAATTAAGCACAACAACAAGTGTAATGCCAATATCATCGAGTTTCATCGCCCATCGCCATGCGTCATTGCCTCCTGGCACAGCGGGCGTGCTGCGGGCATGTTCGGCTTATCATCAAGTATACACATGTATCCACA